TTTACTCTTTATGTTTTAGGCATGGCAAGACCGAGTACTGAGTCAAGAACGAGTCCGGCAGTGGAGGTGGATCGGCTGGGGAATTTAGGAGACGCTAAAAATAACATTACTACTGGCAGTAACGAGTTGCCTAATCCCAGCTGCACCATTAATAGCGCTTATGAACGATGCTACGCTTATTGTCTTTCGCAGAAGCCTGCTCGTCCATATTATTGTTGTAATGATAATATTGGATATTGCATTTGCAGTAACATTCCAAGTTGTTTGACGATTTAACAATTCAGATCATATAACATACGCGAAGGAAAAGAGGATGAATAGTAGAAAGTATGATATGTGTAATTTTATTTCTGATCCAATACTGTTTCATTTAGCATGCCAACTAATGAACGAGTACTATTTGGAATATCATCTTATCTTATTATTTGCAAATAAGGTCAAGTTCTATGAAACGAGAAAAGGATATTGATAATCACTCGTAACTCAATGATCTTCCAATTATGAAATCTAACTAAAGTCCTTCGTAGATGAGGTGTATAAAAGTCTCAATGAAATTGTCTTTCAAAATTGTGGATGAAGACACTCAAAGTCATACAAGGTGGGGTAGAGCGGGTATCTAAATATTCAAACCTGTTTCGCACTAAGTACGCACGGGTCCGGGTGGGTAATACCTGATTGCGTGACGGGGCGGGTCAACGCACTATTACACGTTATTTGAACAAAAATACCACAAAATTTACTTTATACAAGAGAACGAAGGGAAAACACTTTATATATGAAATATTGTGATAGTAGAATGAATAATCGAATCTAACTAGTTGAAAAATCAAATCTAATTTGTTGAAAAAAAATCAAAATATGAAAAATATGAATAAGATATTATAAGAAATTGAAATAGAATGCACCAAGAACGAGACAGGGCAAGGCGGATCAAAAGATGATACGCAATACCCGCCCTACACTACTGCGGATCAAGTAATACCTGCCCATCGCACATCATGTCAGATAATACTCGGTTCAAATTATCATCCCTAAACCTACATCAATTCTCGGTTCTCAAATGTTTGGTGTTAACCATCAATCATTGATTGTTGTTACTTGGCTCAGGACATTCCTAGTTTCTTCATTGAACCATCCATGAAATAAGATTTTTTTCAATACAATTTGAAATCGATCATCTCAAAGTTACAATCCCTAAATATTAAGTCTACATAACTACTTTTTGGATGACACTAATCTCCTTGTAATCTAGGACTCAGTCGACCACGCAACCAAACGATACCATAACAAACAACCAAATGAACACGATCACATTTTTTGAGTGTTAGAGAGATCACAAACTATGAAACTATAGCCACTGAATTGGAATGATCGGTTCTCTCTCCCCCTGTCTCCCACACTATAAATAACCACTGCAACCTGGGCATGAAAACACAAATCCATCTTGAATTTGTCGAACAAACACAGTCCTTATCTATATAACAGCACCTCTTCCTGCATATCAATTCGAGACCGATTGAGCAGGCGGGTCGAGATCCTACGAGGTACCCTCCCGAAATCATGGGGAAGCCTGTTTCCTTCAAACTCGCATTCTCATCATCGCTACTTCTACTAGTTCTCCTGACCGTTACCATCGAATGTAAGTTAATTACCACATAACCAAACTTCTACCTCTACTATATCTTACCACCGATGTAGTCAGAAATCGCGCTTTAAAACTTAAAAACTTACGATTTTACGCTACTGTTTCTGATCTTGTCCATGGCTATGTTGTGGTGTGTTTTTTTTTTTTTTATGTAGTAGGCATGGCCAGACTGAGTACTGAGTCGAGAACGAGCCCATCAGTGAAGGCGGGTCAGGGGAATCTAGAAGATACCAACACTCCTCCAGTGCTTTTTGTGCCTCCGACCTGCACCACCGTTAAGCGTTGTGATCGATGCTCCTATTATTGCCATTACAAGAACCCTAATTATTCATATAGCTGCAGTACTAGTGATGAACTGTGCTGTTGCAGTGACCTGTGATTGGATTATTGTTGAATAAATAAATATCATATGAGAACCTTAACCTCGATTAAGTAATCAATATGCCAAAAATTCTGTCACCAGGCGGCCTGACCATCAACAACAACAACCCTCTCCAGGCTTCCCAATCTTCTCCAGATTCGTCAATGCTAGCTGTGCCTGAATTTGGACTACACAGTTGAAACAATCAGTCCCTTGATTGGCCCTAACAGAAGTTCATACATCTAATTCCAGTCGATCAGTTTGCTGCCCAGCTAGCATAGTTAGTAAATACTCCGTTTAATACACGTATATGTACCCGTACGTACTTTATCCGTTTAAAACTTCCGTATCCGTATTATTGTCAAGCTGTTTCATTTTTTCCTGTTCATTTGATGGCTCCCGTACTAAACACGTATAAAACCCGTATAACACGTTTAATATTCGTATTTAATGAATTAACTTGTCAACTTTACAAATATTTAATTATTTTTAAAATATTTATGACTATTAACGTACTATTAAACGTAACATTAGTTTATAGATGAAGTAAAATACACGTACATATTTTATACTTAACTTTCCCGTACCGTATTTTACTAACTATGCCAGCTAGTTCTCTTGTTCTGTTCATGGGTCTAGAGTCTATTTAGGGACATACCTGGCCTTGTAATCAATATTTCTTGGTTTTCGAGTGAAGCAGATAATTAAGTAGCTTTAGCACGAATCTGAAATCACAGAACAATGAATTTATGATGAAACAGAAAACAACTCGAGCAGGGAAGTATAGTGCATGCATACCTTTGCTGCATAGGGCCATAAATCCCCGTGGCTAATTTGGCAAGTAAAATACCCCACATCTCACAGATCAGTGGCTTGTCTTCTAGCACTGAGGTGGAGAGCAGCCAATTTTCCGCCAAAATAAGGTATATGTACATTTTGAACATATCACATTATTCTTTCTCCACCATATTAATAATGGCGATAAGGCAGCTGAGAATCCCCTCCTCGTTGCTCGCCTATGGATGTAACGAAGTATGGCAGTAAGCAGAAGACATGATTATTTTATTAAATAAAAAGTCGAGTAGTTTGGAATGGAGAAAATTGGCATTGACGAAGTATGGCGATAAGGTACCATTGCGGTACTGATGGAATTTGCTGTTGCATTATTACGTGAAAACTTTGCTTTTTTGGAAGAAAGTCGAGTAGTTTGGAATGGAGAAAATTGGCATTGACGATCGATCTCGAGTGGTTAGTTACTAAGTACCAAGTAAGACTGCTTCTCGATCTTGCGGTTGATAATTAAGAATGTAGTGTGCTTGCGTCAACACCTAATTAATAAGGGTTGATTACGAATGTTATCCGAATGAATCGTGAGTTAATCGTTGACCTATATAGTTAATTAACTAGCTAGTATTTGGATTGGTCGTAATATTATTTAATTAATGACTTAAGCACAACTTTCCATTTTGGTGCCCTGTCCCGCCCTGACTCAGTGTAACCGGTTGGAAATTTTTAACTTGCACCCCGACTTGAAAGTGATGCAATTGGGCAAGGAATGGAGAAAATTGGCATCGACGATCTCGAGTGGTTAGTGATTAAGTACCAAGTAAGATTGCTTCTTGATCTTATATATGGTTGATAATTAAGAATGTAGTATTTGCGTCAACACCTAATAAGAGTTGATTACGCGTATTATCCGAAAGAATCGCGAGTTAATCGTTGACCTCGCTAACTAGCTAGTAATTGGATTGATCATGATATGATTTAATTAATGACTTAAGCGCGACTTCCCAATTTGGTGTCCTGTCCCGACTCAGTGTAACCGGTTGGAAATTTTTTAACTCGCATCCCGGCTTAAAAAGGTCGTTCTTGGCTCAATATAATTGGACAACTGTCATTCCCTATTTAGGCACATTCAAGTATATTTTCATGAGTTCAAGTCAGAGATAAACGACGACATTTTTTGCTTTCTTCCATCTTAAAATGAAACAAAACAACGGCGTCATTTCACATGAAAGAAGAGCCGTGTATCATATAATAGATTAATAGTTTCGGATTATAGCTAGTATATATAATTACTTTTTGGATAATAGTAGTATTTTTGTAATCTAGGACTCAACCGGCCATGTAAACTAAAAGCTACCATATGTGTCTTATGTCTATACGAAGAAACAAAAATGAATTTTTATATAACTTGAAGTGTTCGAGTAATCACAAAAAACAGAACTATATACTGCCATTCAATCGGAATCTACGTCTCTCTATAAATACTCCACAAAATAACTTAGACAAGCAATTCATTTTCCCCAAAAAACACAAACCCCTACACACACATAAAGAGTACCCCTCGTTACATTATCCATAAAAAAAAAAGAACTCGATCGAACAAGTAGGTCAAGGTCCTGCAAGATACCGCCTCGACTACTCAACGTACGTACACAATCTCTCCGACGATACACTCACCATGAAGAAGCTCGTTCCGTTCGAAACCGCAGTCCGCTCACATCTACTTATAATAACCCTTGCCATCATTGTGGCATGTACGCCACCATCTCTACCAGCAACATGTATATACCATTTCTGTGATCTTGTTCATAGCCATGTTGTTGGTGTCTTTATGTTGTAGGCATGGCCGGGCCGAGTACTGAGTCAAGAGCGAGTCCATTAGTTGAGGTGGATCGGAGGAATTTAGGAGACACCAATATAATTACTGCTGGTAATGAGATTCATGATCCCGGCTGCACCACTAATAGCGCTTATGAACGATGCTACGGTTATTGTCTTTCGAAGAAGCCTACTAATTATCTCTATTATTGCTGTAATCATGGGTCGTGCCATTGCAGTAATATTATTCGAGGATGTTTGAAAATTTAACAATAATTGGTTTCCTTTAGTAATAGCACCATGATATTACTCTAAAGTGTTATTATATTATCTCAAAAAATTAAAACCTTTGCCAATATAATTCATGTAGATTATCTCAAACTTACATTCCATGAATATTTAAGTATAACTACTTTTTGGATGACACTAGTATCCTTGTAATCTAGGACTTAGCCGGACCATGCAACCAAACGATACCATAACAAACAAACAAATGAATGAATATAACTTGAAGTGTTATAGAGATCACAAACTATGAAACCATAGCCACTAAATTGGAATTATCGGGTCTCTCTCCCACACTATGAATAACCCCTAAGGCATATCGACCTAAGAGCACCTCTTCCTGCACATCCATTCAAAATCAATCGAATAGACGGGTCGATATCCTACGAGGTACCCTTCCGAAAATCATGGGGAAGCCTGTCTCCTTCAAACTCGCATTCTCGTCATCATCACTGCTTCTACTAGTACTCCTGACCGTTACTGTCGCATGTACGTTACTTTACCACATAACAGAACTTCTACCTCTAGTACTGTTTCTATGATCTTGTCTTTAGCCGTGTTGTTCTTGTTGTGTGGTCTTTATGTTTGTAGGCATGGCGAGACCAGGCGAGTCAAGAACGAGTCCCTCGGTGAAGGCGGATCAGGGGAATCTCGAAGATGCCAACATTACTGGTTTTCTGCTGCCTTCCACCTGCAAAACTGATAACGGCTGTGGTGGATGCCAAGATTATTGCCGTTCCAAGAGTCCTGGTTTTTCCGATCAATGCAATGTTAAGGACGGATGGTGCTGTTGCAGTGACCTGTGATCGAATATGTATGCCCGATTTCACCTACCAGTTTAGATCACAGCCTCGTGCACATCCTGTGGCCTCTCATTGCCAAGTGGAAGTGTTTGACTACTTGGAATCATCTTATCGTCATTTTGCAAAGAAAGTCGAGTTCAGAACACTAAAAATAGCTACAGGTTCATTAGCCCACGACAAGACAGAGCGAGTCAAGAATGAGTCCATCAGTGAATGTGGATCAGGGGAAGTCGGGAGATGCGCCAGCAAGAATGCAACATTGCTGACGCTTCTGCACATTGCCATGGTTATTGTCATTCGAAGAAACCTAGATATTCAGATCATTGTGGTAAAAATATCAATCAATATAACAAAAGCATGTCACTAGGCCTTACCATAACCCTCTCCAGGCTTTCCAATCTTTACCAGATTGGTCGATGTTGGCTAAAGACCACACAGTTGAAACAGTCAGCCCCTTGATGGTGCAGCAAAGATTCTAGGCTTCTAGCCCTAACAGAATTTCATACATCTAATTCCAGTCAATCAGTCCACAGGCAGCCAGTTCTCTTGGTTCTGTTCATGGTGTCTAGGGTCTATATAGGGACATACCTGGCCTACTAATCAATATTTCTTGGTCTTCGAGTGAAGCAGATAAGTTGCTTTAGCCCGAATCTGAAATCACAAAACGATGAATTGTTGATGAAAACAGAAAACAACTCAAGCAGATGAAAAAACATAGCAGGGAAGTATAGTGCATGCAAACCTTTGCTGCATAGGGTCTCAAATCCCCGTGGCTAATTTGGAAAGTACAATGACGCAAGTAAACACCCCACATCTCACACATTAGTGGCTTGTCTTCTAGCACTGAGGTGGAGAGCAGCCAATTTTCTGTCAAAGTAAGGTATATGTACATTTTGAACAGATCGCATTCTTTCTCCACCATATTAATGGCGATAAGGCAACTGAGAATCCCCTCCTCATTGTTCACCTATGGATGTAATGAAGTATGGTGGTAAGCAGAAGACATGATTATTTGATTACACAAGTAGGAAGCTTGATCATTTGACACGAAATTCAAGTCAAGTTGATAGAAACAACAGCCAAGTGCCAACTACCTTATCAAAACAATTAAGCAGAAGTTGATGAGAAACTGCAGCTCTGAAGTTATTAGCACGGGGTTGATTCCTGGTATGCATTCCACTGCTCGTAAGCAGTTCAAATCCTTTGGAACCCTGTATTAACAACCCGGGTTGTAAAAATTAGGAGAACCAAAGGCACAACAAGAAACAAACCCCCAGTTTCTGATTTAAAATGACAAACTTCTCAAGATCCCTAGTCAAGCCTAGTTACTGCAAATCAAAATCGGCACATTTGATGGTCATAGTAGAATAATTTAAGCGACTCGATAATTGAACCAATACCATGATGGAGAAAAAGAATGGACAAGTTTGAGGTCCAGAACAGAAATAATTCACCTCTAATGGGGAAGCAAGACTTTGATTTTTCTTTTGTCCAATTCATCCTGATCAGAGTTTCTACTCGGTATCAATGAGACAGAAGAACAAAAAGGTCTATTGCCAAAACACTTTACTTTAAGTTTCATGGAAACCACTTCTTTGTAAGCAATTGTTTAACTCTAGAACGACAGTTCCAACTTCCGACAAACAATTGTAACAGCTAAACTAACAATTACCTGCAAGCAAGAGATCTAGCAACATTTTGGCATGCTCCCTGCCATTCCTCATCTGTGAAATAATTGATGACAGACTGTACAGTTTCATGCAGAAGTAGCAGGAATCCTTCCAGCTTGCGATCAAGAGACAGAAGAACCACAACCTCCAGTAATGTTTCTGCCTCTGAAGAAAAAAAGATACACCTTTTACCCCTGTTATACAAATAAAAATGCAGAAAACTAAAGAATCAGAACAAAGATCTAACTGAGCTAGGTAAATCTTCAGCATGATTTAACTGAAGAATAGGGGGGAAAATGCTTTCAGAACTGTCAAATACCTTCCTTGACAGCAGGCAGCTGTAAACTTTATCCACATTTGAATATTATCAGGTGGTCCTCTATTGTGATCACCTACATCATAAGTACAACATATGCGATTAGAGGAAAGCTTGCTATGTTTCGGATTCCTGAAGTTGAAATGTTGACAAAACGATTTATCGAAATAATTATTGAGAAATATAAATCAGGCATTTAGAAACAGCTTATGCCGAAGATGCAACTCAATTGAAAAGAGAATGACAATGATTTCATTACCAGGGCAAGCACATACATGATCATGCCACGTCAAACACTGAAAACCTCTACGTGGGTAAGAGACATACATAGTAGGAACATAAAAGTGTTCTTCGAAATAAAATTTGTGTTCAGAAATAAAGCAGAACGGTTCTTTGTGTTCAACTATGTCGTAGCCTCGTCTGAAAAGGTGACATGCATGCAACTAGAACAGCCATTAACCTGATGCAGGACATCTGAAATCCATAAACAGAAGAAGAAGAAAACGTGGGACATCTGACAGAGAGGGCCTTTCTATTAACATGACTCTCACCTGGAGTCAGGAACTCAGGATAACAGGTCAGCACAGAGTCATAGTCCATTAGTTTGGAACAGTGATGGGTGTGGCATTACTAGTGCTAGAGCCAGGTTGAAGAACAAATACAAATAATATGTGCCAGGCAACAAAATACCTAACCCAGCGATCTTCTGGACTCCATCAAGAATTCACTTGGTAGTTTCTCATACATGAAAATGCAGAGAAGAAAGGAGATCTTACCAACGATTGCTGACTCTCCCTGTGGTGGAACGTCTAAAAGAAACCCATATATTTCAAGAGCTGTTCTAAGGTCGGAGTAATTTGGGAACCACTGAACTCCGGTGGGCTGCTCTTTATCCTGATCAACAACAATAAAGGCATGTCAAAGCTGTAAATAGGAAAGAAACATGATCTTTTGAAACTAAACACACGTGTTATACAAGCACAGATCAAGTCACCTTCACATCAAGTCGAACAGCAGGGCACCAAAAGTCACAAGCAGCTGTCCTCAACTCCTCTTTCTGTGAATACAACACTGAGATAGCCTGAAGAATGAGTAACAACAAATCGTGTAGGACATCCAAAAGAAGTAGACAGAGAAGAATTGGACTCACTTATATGATAGTCCAGGCCAATGGTTTTCTTCCTACAGAAACCATATCATTAGACCCATAGTACAAAACCACAACCATAATTTTTTATGCAACCAACTCGATCACGTCAGATTAGAAGAACTACACTTGCTTCATAAACTTACTATATCTTCTTAAACAAGACAAGATATTTCCTTCAAATAAGAATCTTAGCAATCTTAAAGACCATCCAACACAGCACGAAATCATTCAAACGACTCAAAAAGGGATTTCGAAACTACTCATATGGTTAATTAAGAAATCCCACTGCCAAATTAAAAGAATAAGCTCACATGCAAGTACAGCTATTGCCTATTGGAAAAGGGGGAGAGGGAAAACCTTTTCTTGGCAACATGATCGTCGGAAGTGAGAAGAGGGTCTTCGAATTCAAAATCTAGAGGACCGTCCGTGTCCACAGAGTCCATTTTCACTCGTCGCCAAAGCAAAGGGGCGCCGATTTCCGGTGACCTAGCTTTTTAGGCAGTAGAACGGTTGCTACTGGACGCTGTGAGTCTGTGACTGCGATAACAGCGCCAAAAGTTTGGAAGAAGGCGGCAAAATTGGGACATTTTGGGGAAATACCGAAATAGACTTTTAATTGGTTTTTGTATCTTTGAAGGCAAACGGGCCTGTCATTTGATTGGGCTTATCAAGATTATTTTAGCCCATATCACAAAAATGGGATGGGAATATGATCCTGGTTTACACCAAAAAAAGAATATGATCCTGGGCTCCTGGCCCAATAATTACAATGCCATTTTTTTTTAACCATCTGATGATTGGGCTCAGTGCTGCCAATCTAGTGGCTTCTAAGTCCTTGACAGTTCGACTATTTGTCGATTTTTGCGTTTGATTGTATGCGACCTTGTTAGTTGGTTAAAATTTTATGAAAATACCTATTTTGTTTTCCTGTAAACAACTTTTCTAACAACTTATTGAAAATTTCCAATGGAGTTTGTTAAAATCATATGCTCCTATAAATGAACTTTCCTACTAGAAAATTTTTCAAGGGATCCCACATTTTGAGTTAACTCTCATCAATTCAAATTTTGAGATAAATCTATAAAAAAAAAAACTTTCAGGACATTTAACTTTTCAGTTGACAAATAAAACTGATCTCGATGCCGCAATCAACCTGCAATTTTGCATTTTAACTCACCGAACACCAACTCCAACTCAAATACGGAATGATCTCCCCAACGATGACTTAGAGTAACCAAAGGTAGGAATATTCAATCCTGTTAGCCCAACCTTAACTTCAAATCCACAATTACTCTCACCAAGATTCAAATACTTCTTAATCAACAGCATTCAAGGGAAATTAAAAGGAGGGAACTTTGCAAACCATAACGTGCATACACATTTCTTTAATGTCCACCATATCCAGTTTGTCTGCTGCAATTGCCTGAAGAACGCACATGGACAACCACATGGCCCGAGCGATGAGCAGAACATTACGCCAAACAGAAACAGCAAAAACCCACCATCGATCACAGAACCGGCAACTTGCACCAGAACTTAATTTGCACACTACAGCAGTTAACGTCGTCAATGATCAATTATGCACACTTCTCTCTTCTTAAAAAATTGCCCTTTTTCTCCTTCTCCAACGCACACTTTCACTTGCATTTGAGGAAAGGGAACTAACAAAGAAAGAAAGAAAGAAAGAACAGAGCCCATGCATGTGCCTGTACAGCTCACACTCCAAAGCCAGTAGGGCACACTGTCCCTTAAAATAAAGAGATGTCCCCAAAACCCAACCCTCTTTTTCCTCTAGATTTTAAAAGGGTCCCTTTACCCATTTTCAATACACACAGATGAGAGAAGAGAAAAAAGGGTCGTGGAGTACTATAATGGCAGATCAGAAAAAAAAAGGACCACCATTGGGAAATGAACATCAGAACATGCACATGATTGAGCGGGAGGCAAAGGTAACTGTTCTTAATGTGGGTTCAGACAGTGGTATTTGGCCCCCATATAATTTGGGGTTTCATTTTCCCGGCTTAGGAAGCTTTTGTTTCGTACCTATGGAAGTGTATTATTAATACTGTGATGCGATGCTCTGCCCCATCTACCATATGAAATGAGACTGTTGTTACTAAACTCGTGTTTGGAGATATCGAGAATGTTATAAACGAACTAATAGGCGAAACGAGCAATCGGTGAACTTGTGTTTACAGCAGGGTGTGCTATAATTGTAGTTCTAATGTTTTGGTGAGCTTCAACTCGATTCATTTATGTTATTGCTAATAGTGTTGGTACACTAGTTGGGGGAGTCACACAATGCTAATAAGGGTAATTGGTTAGGTGTAGAAGACAGACAGGTAGGGGCATTTGGTGAGTCATAAAAGCTGAGTTGTGGTGCTTCAATTTTTTTTTTACAGAATTTGTTCTGTACAGAAAGTTGGTCAAAGAATTGAATGTGTAAAATTTATGGCAAATTGAACTATAGCTCCATACATCTATAACAAAAACAGGAAGTAATGTAATTGACTTTGAATAATGTAATTACCAAGGGGAAACTTCGAAAGTATTCATGAACTGTATGTATTTGACTTGACGTGATCGAGGGGGGAAATCGTTGAAGAAATTTCAAAGTGCACTTCTTTCAAAATGCACATTGTAGATTATCATTCCGTGCTACATATGGCTAGCACTATTTTCTCGTGGTGCATAACTAGTAAATGAGATGGTAGAATTTTGTAGGATAGTTGACGTAAAGCTTTATACCTAATGTGTGTCCAATATCATCCTCTCTATATTATTATTGAGTTGATCTCTTAGGGGTCGTTTGCTTCAAGGATTTGGTACATGGATTTGGTACAAAAAAAACCAACTATCAAGGATTTAGGTACAATCCGTTGTTTGCTTGCACCTTTTTTGGAGACCAAATCCGTGGGGGCCACGGATTTTAAGGGTCCAAATCCGTGGACCCCACGGACTTATAAATCCCACATGTTGATGTGGGATTTGGAATATGGCATAAATCCTTGATGAGATTTTACCCATATACCCTCATGCACTTTTAATATTCCAAGGTTGCCCTCAAATTTAACTATTATACATTATAATTAACAATAAATGAATAATATAAACGTTCAATTAATGTGCAAACATGAGTTAGATTTTTTATATCATTTCTTGTGTTCTAGTTTTCTTTGACCTTTTCATGGAATGTGTAATTCTTTGTTCTCCCGATTCTAATATATGTTGTTATATGTTACTTTTGAAAAGGAGGACAAAGAATTGGTAATTGATTATGTTACGTTAAAAGTTAAAACGGAATTTTCTCGTTTATTATTATTGTCCATGTGGCAACATTATGCTTATTAGTATGTATTGTCCTTGTTTTGTGTACATATCATAAACATGTCAAACATATAGAAAATGATAGTAAGGTAATTTTGAAGTTTTGTCCTTGTTTTGTGTACATATCATAAACATGTCAAACATATAGAAAAGGGCAGTAATGTAATTTTTTACTTCAAGTAGTAAATCCCACACCTTTAAATCCATGATAAAAACATCCCAACAAACAAAGGATTGTTACAAATCCATAATGCCTCAAATCCTTGATAAATCCTTGGGTTTTTAAATTACAAAACCCTCATTTTTAAATCCATGAAGCAAACGACCCCTTAGTATCTTGGTGAGATTTTCTTTAATTATTATTATTTAAGATTCAGATTCGTGTAAATATTTATTAATATTTGTTCGGCCTAATAAGTTTAAGAAGCTCTTTACCAAATGTAAGAGCGAAAACTAAGACGAAAGAAAGTGTCTTTAAGCTTATCAATTGTGTGCAAATCCCTACTAATTAAAGTTTGATTTGACAACAAGGGAAAAGGACTCAACCCAACAAAACATACAAGAGCAGGCAAAAGATGGGCACTTTTTTGGGTATGCTGATCATGAACACAAAACCTAACTTGCCAGACAAGCAACACTGAAACAATTGCTTTCTTGATTATCATATCCTGCTGGCTTCGTCACACAGCACAGCCACCACCAGATCATGTTTGGTCGTGGAGATTAATTACGGTGTTGCTTGATTAGCTACTCAAGCAAGCAACTCGATCCAATTAGTGACCTAATTAATTAATTAATTATTACACAAAAAAACCCCCCAAGGAAATGGACGCGTTGATACTTCAACCAAGCATTCATTACTTTATCCAGAAAATTAAGTTTCCACAAGACAAGAGATCAGGTTATTTGCCTTTTGACCATCTACGCATCAGAGTCAAAAATGTTAACATCGGCGGCGTGTATATCTGTCGCCGTGGTATACTTCCCGTGAGCAAGTCGGACTGTGTTTGATTTGGCCGGCGATGGAACGTCCGATTCCAATTGGAGACTTTGAATCTGTCAATAGATGTAATTAATTAATTAAGGCATCAAACCATTAATAGACAAATATACAAGCAACCAACCCCACAGCTTGAATGATGAAGACGTCTCTCTACCTAGGTTGATCTAATCCAGGTTTGAATAGGACTAGACATCGTCTTCATCTTGATCTCGTCGTTTCCACCATACTTCCCTAACCATTTGGGTCATTCATCGTTGGTTAATATTTTCTTTTAGATGAATGTTGATTAACCCAAGATTCAAATATCGAGAACGAACAAGGGGTCGATCTAGTGGTAATACTACTAGTTTTGTACATGGAGGTTCCAGATTCGAATCCATTAAGTAGTATATAAACAACAAAAAAATAAACCTATATCACCCTTGTAAACAAAGATTCAAATACCGAGAACATGGGTAAGTGTTATCGCAGATGTTAAAAGTAAAATTTCACACTCACGGGACTGCTGATTCAAGTACTATTAAGTGCCGAGAAGGTTAATACGGTGTGGTCGTAGGTTTGATCGACTATAAACTCGAATCGCCCGCTGTTATGGATTTGCCTATCCTGTTTAATGGAGGCGAAAATAATTTTTTTTCATAGTTATTACATCGCATGAGTTTACTTTATAGCTCATTGACCTAATTGAAGATATACATACACGATGTAAAATCTTATAAATTCATTATTGTTAATTATGGCTATATGTCATAAATACAATAATAAGAAATGGGCTGGCCTGGGGCATGCAGCATCTCTGAGAAATATGTATGTGCTGTGTGCCAGCCAGTAACTGGTGGATGGCTGGGATCAAAAAATGCTATAGCTTATAAATAAATAATTGCCTAATTAAAGTAGTTGATGAGGTCAGTTGATTACTAATGCAATTGTTTGCGTGGAAGGAACAAACGAATAAGATAAGTATTAAGATCTCCCAGAAAGAGCACTCAGCCACTAAGAGCCGACCATATGCATATGAAACACTACTATTAGTTAGTTCTGATGCTTTTTCTATACATCTTTTTGTTGCCCGATACATCATGCCGGCGATTTTATATGTAATCACAAAGCTTGAAAAAAAAAGAAGGAATTAGGGCATCTCTTGAAAGGTAATTAGAAAGGGGATGTGATGCTGGTTTTGGTTTTGCTTTTGGGCAGAGGAGTAAGGGCTAAGGAATTAGGAGGTGAAGCAACCCACAAACTTGATTGATTAGTCTCTAGTCTTACCCAAGTTTATTTGGCATGTAAGGATGGATATATGAGGGATGGGTAGGTTAGTTTGTGGTTGAAGAGACGAGTGTGTGACGAGATCGTGTAAATTTATATAAGAGGTTTTGAGTTTTTCTCAATTGTTTGTTGAATCGAAGATGTTAAAAAGTATTTAGTTAGTGACTACATTGTGTTAGGTGGGTTTGGTAGTGCAAGAAGGTTGTTGTTTTTTGGGTATAAAGGATGGTTAAATTTCAATAACACCAACAATGTTGTCATAAACTCCGTCGCAAGTTTGAATGAGCAAAGTTAAGTAAATTCTCTCAAATGACAATTTATTGGATTCTCAATTGTTGTCGCAGGATCTTCACGTCAATCATATCTCTACTAGTCGTGCTTAGACTCTCGGCTAACAGATGTTAATTATATGATTCAACACGAAGTTTCCGGCTCACATCTAAATTATTGTGTTGACACCATTAATAGTAAAGATGTTACAAGGAAAAATCAGGAGATTTCTCGTACCACAATTATATGTACGAGTAAAAGGGGACTCCAACTATTCAACAACCTCCTCCTTGGGTCTATATCGGGTTTCTATAATCTTTATTAGCCAAAACAAAAAAAACCGTGTGCATAGCAATTATATCTCAAAGATCCAGCAACACATTAACTCAAGTCATTAGCAAAATAAAGAGAATAAAACGCCTTACTCTCAATCTATGTTATAACCATCCTTTTCCAATCCAAATCCCCCTCCATATCATTGTTCGATATCTAGTTGCCGCCGATGAAACAAACACTAAAAATAGATTACAAGAAATCATAGGATGATTATTTAAATCACACCATGAAACAATCCTATTCAACAAACTTGGTCAAATCAAGCAAAGGTTATCCTCCTTTCGAGAAGCAAATTTGGTGACATTATCTAGGTTGTGTATTAGGCTGGTGTTAGGACCGTCACGCGGTAAGAGACACCAAATCCTCAACGCCAACGGGCAATCCAAGAAGAGAAAGCATACCCGCTTCCTTCCTTTACTATCTCTGTACTGTACGGTGCCGTTTTATTTACAGTTCACCTCCGTTTCAGTCTCCCTATATTCACCGCTGAATATTAACCATCCTACGAGAAAGGAAAGTTACTGCATCCAGATTCCAGAGTCCGCTCCAAATTTCCAATTCATCTCTCCTTTTTTTTCACCTTCCTCTGCCTCCCGTGACTCGTAACAGCAATGGCCCAAAGAAGAGAAACCGTGCCCTCCGCCGAATTTCATTCTGCTCCCCCCACCACCTTCGTCATGTGACAACCCTGACACACACCCATGTCCCATCCCTTCTCTCTCTCTCTCTCTCTCTAGACTTTCATCTTCTCCATCTTCATCTTCATCTTCATCTTCGTTATCACCTTCTTCATTTACCCTTCTCATTGATTACCCTTCTTTAATATTCTTCTTTCGGGTTTTCCTTTGAAACGAAGCATCAGGGCGGGACTCCACCCAAATTCAAGAATCGAGAAAACAATTGAAGCAAAGGGTCGGAGAGGGAGAGAGAGAGAGAGACAGCAAGAACAGAGCAAGGGAAGGAGCGGAATAGCGCATCATTGATCCGATCCAAAAAAAAAATCATTTCTTTTTGACAAAGATCCAATTTTTTCTTCTTCAAGTAGGTGAAAATAACGAAGTACCACCTAATAACCTCTTCATTTTCCCTTAATCTCTACTCCATAGACGACCTCCCAACCGCAGGAGGGAAGCCTACATCCCAACTGCTCTGCCTTTCTCCCCTGTTTCGTCGTCGCATGAGCTTCGGTTTAAAATGAGCCATGGCGGAGCAGCTCAAACGACCCAACACCGTCACCAGCAGAAGAGGGTTCTACGTCAAGATGAGGCTAAACGGGAAGCAAAACCAGCTGCTGGAGAAGAAGAATCCTTATTTCAGATTCTACAAATGGATCCTCTGGCTCTCCCTTTCTCTCTATTTCCTCACCTCCTTCTTCATTAGCCACAAGCCCATCCCTCTTTCCAAAACCCACTTCTCCAAATCGCCTTCCACCGTCGCTTCCCGTGCCCTCTTCGAGTCTTCCTCCTCTGCCTCCACCAATTCGTCGTCTTTACCGCCCAAGAAGAAGAAACAGAGCCGGAGACATTTGTTGAAAGATTTGAAGATATTCGTCTACGATTTGCCTCCGAAATACAACTCCGATTGGCTCGCCAACGAGCGGTGCAGCAACCATTTATTCGCCTCCGAGGTAGCCATTCACAGGGCGATTGCCAACGACGACGATGTCAGGACCTACGACCCGTACGAGGCCGATTTCTTCTTCGTCCCTGTTTACGTCGCCTGCAATTTCAGCACCGTCAATGGCTTTCCGGCGATTGGTCACGCCAGGACCTTAATTTCCTCGGCGATTCAGCTCATCTCCACGAGCTACCCGTTTTGGAACCGCTCCCAGGGTGCTGATCACGTCTTCGTCGCCTCCCACGATTTTGGCTCCTGCTTCCACACATTGGTATGTAACAATAACGATTGAAATGGTTGCCTAATGCATAGCCTATGTTTGATTGTGGAGTGTCTGATTTTTTTGGGGGAAACGGCATTTTTACAGGAAGACAGAGCAATTGAAGATGGAGTTCCAGAGTTCATGAAACGGTCGATTGTATTGCAGACATTCGGGGTAAAACATCGCCATCCATGCCAGGAAGTTGAGAATGTCGTCATTCCGCCTTACGTCTCGCCGGCGAGCGTACAGCGGACGCTGGAGAAAGCACCGGTGAACGGTCGGCGAGACATTTGGGCGTTCTTCCGTGGGAAAATGGAAGTCAATCCGAAAAATGTCAGCGGCCGATATTACAGCAAGTAATAATAATAATCTTTCACACCGAATCCATTCACTTTGAGGAAACTACGTCTGTCGTTTCTCATTTGGGGGATTTCATTTTGTCTTTTTGGCAGGAAGGTGAGGACGGTGATATGGCGAAAATTCAGCGGCGACCGGAGGTTCTACCTCCAGAGGCAGAGATTCGCCGGATACCAGTCAGAGATCGTCCGGTCAACGTTCTGTCTCTGCCCGCTCGGGTGGGCCCCATGGAGCCCGCGCCTGGTCGAGTCCGTCGCGCTGGGCTGCGTCCCCGTGATAATCGCCGACGGGATCCGCCTCCCCTTCCCGGCGGCCGTCCCGTGGCCGGAGATATCGCTCACGGTGGCGGAGAGCGACGTTGGGAAGCTGGGGAAGATCCTGGACCACGTGGCGGCGACCAACTTGTCAACCATCCAGCGGAACCTGTGGGACCCGGAGGTGAGGAGGGCCCTGCTGTTCAACGAGGAGATCCAGGAAGGCGACGCCACGTGGCAGGTGCTTTACGCGCTGGCGAGGAAGCTGGACCGGTCGCGTCGGACTGTGAGGGTTTCCGACCAATGAACGAGGAGGGGGGGGGATGGTGCTGACGTGGATGACAATTCAATTCCTTGGAGTGGGAGACCAGTGACAGGCTGGCATGGCTTGTCTTTTCCCTCTCGGCTCTGCTTTTTCCTAACGTGGACAGATAGATATGCAGCAGCTTTGCATGTAATGTAGAGATAGAGAAGAACAGAACAATAATGGATGACAGCTAAGCTCTGGATTCAAGGCAGGCTGGCGTTTTGTTTTACCGCCTCCGGCGGGGAGTTGGGTCAGTCGCCGGAGCGGAGAGGACGATGAGTTATTGATTATTGCCCTCGTGGGGAGGATGTGGGGGCCCATATCACGGGTTGGGACTTGGGGATATTTTTTTTTGTGGTGACGGTAACTTTGTTTTGTATTCGCGGTAAATACAGAATGGGGACGAATTGCTTTGTGCAGGCTATAGTAGAAACTAGAAAGGACATCTCCCCTTTTGGATGAGTTAGTAAGGACGTTTTGGATTATGGGTTGGGGAAACATAATGGGAGATTGTAAAAAAGAAACCCAGATTAACAGAGCTTTGTATATATGGTAAATTGGGTTGATGCATAAATGCAAAGTTTAGAAGAGTGGGAGCCTTTTGCATTCTTCTTTCTTTACAAGGTTAGTTTCGAACGAGAAGGACAACAAAGAGTCGATTTGCACGGCCTATCTTTGGTTGAATGTGATATAGTGTTCCTGTTCTGCACTTTTGAAGAGAAAATATCGGTTTCATGCTCTTGGATTGAGCAAATGAGACTCAAATCATCCAACCAAACTAACTTGTAGCACTATGAGTAAAAAGAAGTCGGTCAATCCATGATTAGATCAACTCAAGTCAAGACAGTTTAAATCAGCCGATTCTTAACTTCACTAACTCATGACCCAAATGATTACTAGAGTTGAAACTTGAAGGCAATTATAAATAAACAAATAGTTAGGAAATTGAAAGTAAGTGAAAATATGAAACCGGCCCCAACCCTATCCATCTGCCACGACGAATATTTATTTCTGGTAAAATCATCCAAAACCAAAAGTGGGCATGGAAAGTAGCAGAGGAGTAGAATGGGGGTTGGATTGGAAATGGATGGGCTTGGATTCTTGGACGTGGGTCGACGGTAATTGGCGAGACACGGCACAACGGGGAAAAAATGGTGTCAGAACAGTGGGGACTGGTTGTGTAGTAATTACTGTATTACAGTCACGAGTAAGCATCTCTCTTCTGTCATGTATCAAGTATCATTAATACAAACAAAACTGACAAATGCCCACCAGTGTTTTGCTTTGCCTCGCCTGAGCTAAGATCCAAGAACCACCACCGGCCACCGGCCACGAGTCGGCGACCTACCTATTTGGGTTCGGTTTGGAATATCATGATTTCCCGACCCATATGCCATCCAGGAACCAGAATGGCCTGACGGGGGACGAACAGGGCTCAGAACCAGGTCCAGCTATGATCTAACCTTTTAGCCAGCAGGGGATTTTAGTGCACTTCCCCCCCCCCCCCCCCCGAACCACCATTACAAGAATGTAGTATGGGTTCAATGAAATAGAAAACCAAAGGTTCAGGACAGTGGCGGAGCCAGAAAATTGTTCAAGGGGGTGCCTTTCTTCATACCGTAAAGAAATCAACTACGCGCATAATAGAAAAGTCAACTATACTAAAAAGTCGATAACATGATACTCAATATTCATACTGTTTGATCCATCTGGCTCAGGCGGCGAACAATGATATTTGTTGGTGTGGGTCGACTCGTCATCTGTTCGTCTGATCTCGTCGGGAGGGAAAGAACCTGTGGAAGAATCGGGGTTGCCCCCCGGATTAAGCTCCGACGAGCAAGTCAGATGTCGGTTTGTGGAGAGAGTTGAGAGAATAAGGTAGAGAGATAAGGTGTAGAGAGATAGTGAAAAGTAGAAAGTGAGGAGAGAGGAGAAGTCCCCCTCTTTGGAGGGCTTCAAGCCCTTATATACCTGTAGCGGGTATCGAGCGTTGGGCATCGCCGATTATGCGCCCTCCTGCTTAGTCTGTGGCTCTGTGCGCTCAGTCCCTTAGTCACACCCCCAACAATTGCCCCCCAAGCTGGTGGTGAGTTTTAACTCATCACTAGCTTATATTTTATTTTTTTTTAAATCTTTGTCGGTAACTGTTGGGCCAACCATGGAGTCTCTTGGGCCGACAGGCCCATGACCTACAAAAGCCCAGCGAAACAATCGAGCCCGGCCCCAATAGGCCCAGGGCACACTAATAAAAGGTTCGAAGGCGGTCTTCCCGAAAGAACCGCCTGACACGTCCCCAACGGAACTCTGAGAAACCGCCCGACACTGGGCCTAACGTCTCTCTGACACCTCAGTACGGAGGCTGACAAAGGTACGATCCTGACAGCCTCCTGAGAACGGGTCCTTATGCGACCTTGGACGCCCGACAAGGCATTAATTATCCTCACTCCGACATCCTCTAGTATAAATACCCACTCATGGGACACATTTGGGGTAACTTCTATCTACTCCATTCTCTCTCTTATTCATTATATCCATTTCTCTCACTAACTTAGGCATCGGAGGAGGTCCCAGGGCTCCCCTGAGGACCTTTGTTGCAGGAATTCGAAGGTCGCTTCTCACCTCCCAAGACCGCACGAAGACTGTGAAGCCTCGCAAACCGCCCGGTACATTCCAGGCATAAACATTTTGGCGCCCACCGTGGGGCCATGATTTGGTACTCTTCTTGTTTGGTATCTGAAGGAGGAGAGGAAATCGATCCTTTCTCCACTAATTACCCTCGACGGCTCCGACCGCAAAATCCCGCCGAAGCCACCAGAGCAAAAAGAAAAAGAAGAAAAAACAAAAAAGTTTCATATCGCCCATCAACTTTCCAGATTCCAATCGCCGGGAACATGTTCAGCGCCGGACCTCCGACGAGGAAATAAGAAGTCCGGCCGCAACTCATCCTCGTCTCTCCCAACGTGCTTCTGAAAAAGGAGACTGCTCTTCCACAGTGAGTGGATTAGCGAAATCGAGAAAAAGCTTGATGTCTCAATCAAACTTTCTCGCTTCCCAAGGGGCAGGCTGTCTCAATCACACTTTCTCGCTTCCCAATGGCAAAGTTTTTGAGAACTTGGCAAGTGGATTACAGCTGGCCCGCTCACTTCCCCAACGAAGACCGTCCTACCTTGCAGACCGCCAACAACCGACCGCTTCCCATCAGCCGCACAACCCCCGCTTTCATCTGCAGCTGCATGGAACCGCTTCCCGTCCACTTCGTCAAATGCGGCTTCAATCAGACCATGTCTTCAATCACAACGCGGCCCACCTCACAATCCGCAGAATGGGCCGCCTCGCAAGACCACTATCCCAAGTGTAGTTCAACTACAAAAATGAAAGTAACTACTTCCACCGTGATTCGAACCCGCATCCTGCTTCCATCAAACACGAGTGCTCACCAGTTTGCTAGAAGAACATATCTTGCATATTTTTGCATCGCTCTATATTTATCAAAGTTCGCAACAAAGCCCGACGAATTCTCAGCCCAACCGCATTCGGCCGCCAATCGTGAAACCGCACACCTCACTTTGGGCCTGCCTCCAACTCACAACTCGTCCGGCCCGCATACGCACCTCAAAGCCCAAGATGGAGCCCGCTTTGTGTCAAAGCCCAAACATCGACCGCTCCGACAGCATCCAGCCCGTCTCAGCGCAAACGCAGACCCGCGTCTTCTTCTGCTTCCGAAGACCGCCTCCAACTTCATCAAGGGGCCCATGCCCAACTGAGCCTCCGAAGCCCAAATCCGCCTCTCGTTGGGGACCGCCGACCAAGACCCGCGTCCCCTTTAATTGGGCCCGCACATCAAGTCCAAAGGAAGCCGCTCACCAAAAAAGATGAGTAGAATGTGTCTTTCAAGATTCGAACCCGCGCGCCCACCCTCACCACGTCAAAGGCCGCACCACTGCACTACAACACTTATTTGTGAATCAAAGTGCGACTCCTATTATTTAGACCGCTTCCCTGCTGTCTTCTACAACTTATTCTCAAGCTAAGTACTTCATTCTAAGATATATTCAAATACTATGCCATGAAGACCGCCACTAATATCAACTATGATATTTCTCACTACATCCTATACTCATATTTAAACCCTAAGTATATTGGGAACTAGTCACTCACATCTTTCGCAGATATAAAACCGCATCCCGCTTCCTCAGCGATGCTTCCCCTCTACGTAGAAGCCCGATTCCGCTTCCCAGTAGGCGTGACATCGGTATAGCTAGAAACACGATCCCGCCTCCCAGCAGGTGTGGCATCTTCAAAACAAAAACGCCGCCTTGAGTTAAAACTCTCAAGTCGTGGGGGCCGCCCTCCCTAGCACATAGCTAACGCCTAATATTCAGCCAACAACTCACGCTTAACATGCACACAAGCTCATGCCCATCTCGCGGTCCAACAGCTTAACGCATACAGCTCACAGTTACGGCCTACATATTAGCACGCTCAGCAATGGTCTAGTGGGGAAATCTCAAACGACTTGAGAGCTCTAACTCAAGACATCGAATGCTAAGCTAAGAAGCAAAGACAATGGTCGCACAAGGGGCAAACCACATCGTTTGGACCCGCAAGGGTCCAGTCCACTCGTGGGCGCCCATCACCGGAGGCGTCCATCACCGAGAGGCGTCTCAACCATCGAGAGGCGTCCATCATCAAGCAATGGCCGCACAAGGGGCAAAGCCGCACAAGGGGCAAAACCGCATCGTGCGGACTCGCAAGTAAGGCAAGTTAATACACCTTAACGCATTATGTTACTCCTTCCATTCTTACAGAATACAAGAAGCAAAGGGGCAAATGTTGGGTCTAGTATTAACCCGCCTAATACGGGCCCAAGCCCACCACAAAGCGTCTCACCTTGGGCCCAAGCCCATTCTAGGGTCCAGTCCACCGGGAGGCGACCAGTCTATCCGGGGGGCGTCCATCATCGGGAGGCGTCCAACCTACCCGGAGGCGTCCACCACCGGGAGGCGTCCATTCACCGGAAGGCGTCCATCGACAGGAGGCGACCAGTCTACCGGGGGCGTCCATGACAGCGGGAGGCGTCCACAGGATGCCTCCGACTCCTATATAAGGATGCCAGACCCTCCAAGCAAAGGGACTTCTCTCCCTTCCCTCACTTTACCACTTATGGTTCTCTCTCTAAACCCTATCTCTCTCTACATTTCTCTCTACACTCTATCATATATCCTATTCTAACTTGGGCGTCGGAGTGTAGATCACGGGGGCCGCCCCCGACTCTCCACAGGTTTCTTCCACTCCCGAGGAGATCAGACGAGGGAGTCCGGATCAAGGTTCCACACAAAACCCCCGGTACTAATCCGGGTCAAAGCTCAGAGCTCCGCAGAAAGTTGCAGACGACCCAAGGAGGAAGACGACGGAGAGTTTTCCCCAAATGAAGAAACACAATGGCGGAAACAGTGCGCCTCTCTCCATTTAAAGCAAACTCTCAAGGGGCAAAAGTCTGACCTTGTCAGAGCGCGAAAATCGATGCCACCACGTGGGACAACCGAGTGCGGTTATAGACCGCCCATCATACAAACAAGTCGGTAAAGCCGCCCCTTAGGCGTTCGAACGCCACGCCTCCGCGGCCAGGGGCAAGCAGATAATCATAGGCCGAGCGACCCAAGACCGCTCCACGGCGACAAAAACAGTTAGCCGCGAAAACCTAACGATCATCACGACTAAGGGGCAAATGTTGGGCCAACCATGGAGTCTCTTGGGCCGACAGGCCCATGACC